GGTGACTTAAGTCACCTCGCAGAGGGCGCGTAAGGGGGATGAGACCCGCGGATAAGTTGTTTGACATGTATCGAGTTGGCGAAGAGAGGTGGTTGAAATATGCTATTGGTTAATCATAGTCTGTATTTTGAAGAAAAGGTAACCGCCCTCTCGCCGATGGTCACTCGCAGGTACAGAAGTACCTTCGAGCGACGCTCGTGAGATATCCGTGTGTCTCCGTGCGACGCAACAATAGCTGCAAAGGCCAAGAACAGACTAAAAGATTTTACTCTTGCCCTGTCAATGCAGGGTCACTGTACCAACCATACAGAAATATCTTATTCTGATATAAACAGAGTTACTTGAAATCTGTCACTATGGTCTGAAGCAACGCCCAAGCGTCGAATGTGTACCACATCACGCTAACGTTGTATATACAGTCACGGTATCAATCATCACGGAATATAATAGAAAGTTAAAATCATAAATACTCTTTTCAATTCGAAGAGAATTTCTGAAGAGAAATCGAACCATTGATAACGTCTTACAAATTTATATTGGGACAAATATATGAAGATATCGATGACGCGAAAACGCGTCAACCGTCGCCAATGTGTTAATTCGAGAAATTCTTCACTTATTTCATGTCATGATTCAGCTGTACACTAACTAGAATTCTAGTAGATTTTAGTAAAATTTAGTAGACTTCAGTCGATTTTAATAGAAATCTGTAAAATTTCAATTTTTATAAAAATTAGCATCTTTTTAATTCGATAAATTCTTTACACATTTCGGCACGATTCAGATCACTAACTAGAATTCAGTAGATTTTAGTAAAGTTTAGTAGAATTCAGTCGATTTTAATAGAAATCCGTAGAATTCAATTTTTATAAAAATTAGCATCTTTTTAATTGGATAAATTCTTCACACATTTCAGCACGATTCAGCTGCACTAACTAGAATTCGGTAGATTTTTGCAGGTTCCAAAAGATTTCAGATCTTACTAGATCTTTGTAGGTTTCAAAAGACTTCAGATTTCAGTAGAATACACTAAATTCTAATAGAATCCAGTAAATTTTTCTAGATTTTACCAGAATTCAGTAAACTTCAGTATCTCGTCAATTATTCTAACATCAGCAATGCCACGTGGCACAAAGTAATACTTCAACGATACCGTATCGAATCTTGAAAAAATTCAACTGTATTTATCTTTATTATTCAGATAATTTTTGCCACTTCTCCCAGACTGATTGCATTTCGCAAACACGTTATCATTGCAATCAACCGTAATCATATCAAATATTGTTTCAAACGTTTTATCGATGTACGTTACTAACATAAAATTAAGAATATTCAAAAAACTACAAATTTCGTTCGTAATCACTAGTTACACAGATTATCGAGCTTTTTACACCCTAGCAATAGATCGATTTCATTCAGCCTGGTGCTACCTTTCTCGAAATTAATCAGTCAGAGGAGACAATTAAGAACGATCTCGATGTGCAAACACGATGTGCCCGGTAATCGATATCATTTTGCGAAGAAAAATAAATTTTTGCCGCCGGGACGAATTATATGCTAGGTAATCTGATTCGATAGCGTACATTGATAATCCAATGAATCATAATTAGATCATCGCGATGGGCGTATTAACAGTTATTATTATAATGGCGTTACAATAGCTAGCTGTTGCGTTAATAACTACGTCCGACATGTACCGTATATACATATATTTTGTGTGGAAAAATGAAATACCATTAAAGTGTAATGGAACGGCTAATTAGCCGATAAAAGATGCGAATGAATAACAGATTGGTCTGTTATACGTGCGTATAAAAGGAATATTCATTTTGTCGTGCTATCGTGCATTAAAAGTGCGGTGGAAACTCGTAATAATTTCGCGGCGCAGCGCGCGTGTATCTAACGCAGAGAAATGGCAGTTTTCCGAGAAAAATTTCTTTCTCGAATAGAACGAGCGATGCAAACGACAAGAAATTGATCGTATTTGATTTGGTCTGCGATATTCGAATCTCTTCAACGAGAACAGTATTCTTTCGTTGAACGAAGGAAATGTAGAGCATGACGATATGATTTTTAATAATTTTGCAGATTTTTCTTTGTCACTGTGCGTGAAAATTGAGACACTCGAATATATTTCATTAATATTTTAGGTCATTTATTGTAACTTAGATCGATATTTCCAACGAACCTTTAAATTTGATAAAAAAAAAAAGTGCCTTCCAATTTCGCAAATTTTTCCTATTTTTTTTTCGGTAGGTACAGAATTTTCCTGGATTTTCATTCAAATATTTTTCACTTTAGGCACGAACTTATGGGACGACCTAATATTTGTATTAATCATATAATTCATATTTGTCAGGAGTATTGAAATACCTAAATAATTATTGCAAATGATCAAAAATTTAATTCAACATAATTTCTTCATAGACTTCAGTTCGCCATATTTCTTCTACTCAATTCTCCAACTCCGCACAAATCATTTCTGCAGTTCCAGTCTTTTTACTACCCTTCGATGATTATTCTAACGCGACAGTTCCCATTTTTCAAACGCAATCCGGTTGAAACGCGACCCTCGACCACTCCGCACCGAATAAAACCGGAAAAGCTACGTTTGACCCAGTAATCACGAATTTCAACAATATTCCCATCGCGTCAGAATTAACTTACTCCTGTCTCAGTCACGATTAAAACATCTGCCGATAGTTTAGTAACCAGGTAAGCGAACGATCGACAATTATTTCCCCGGAACGAGTTTACGAATCGAGGAAGCCGCGGGAAAATTTGAAAAGCCGCTGGGCAACAAGACACGATCGGCTAAACCGGATCACTTTGACTCCTGCCATCATCTCTCTCTCTCTCGCTCGTTCCTTTTGCTATAGAGGGGCGATTAACCCCGCGGCGTAATTATATGCCGGCCGATATCGATGTCATCGGCCTTGATTATCCAGCAAACGACAACCCGATTTCCTCTGTAATCTGTTTCACCCTAGCTATCGTTTTAACCCGGCTTCTTCCTTCTCTTTCTCTGAACCGTTCCTCGTTCTCCTCCTCTCGACTCGAGCATTGCAGTTCTCTCTCTCTCTCTCTCTCTTCCTCGTGGACGTCTTTTTTTCTGAAACGGTGCAGATTCGTTTCGTTATACTCTCGACGGATCACCGTGGATACCATTTCCTTCATGTCGACGACAGGTGCCCGGTCTCGAGATATCTATTTTCCATATTCAACCCCTGCTCGCTTCTCCCGCCCCGTTCTTTCCTACCGTCTCTTCTGCCTTCTTCCTTTCTCTGCCGCCACCCTTTCTCCTCTGTTTCTTCTTCGTCTCTGTTAAGCTATCGGTTTGCGCGTTTCATTTTGACGTTGTTTTTTGCATCTCCAAGCTGGACTGCTCTTCGTCTGGCGGAGCATCCTCGTTGGATTTTTATGTCGCTCCGAGCACAAACGTGTATCGATTGAACGTTAACGGTGAAACTCGGCGAGAAAGTAGCTGTACGTTTCTTTCTATCGAGTTAATTGTTGTTTCGTTCTTGGTTATCGGTGTTGATTGTTTTGTAGATAGATCTTATTACCATTTTTGGTAAGAGATACTGTTCCAATTATCGGTTATGTTTCCACGCGTTGTGCCCTGTGTTCGCTATCTGGAGTGACCTGATTAACCAAATCGGTTATTGAACCTGAAGCTCGAGTGACGTTGTTAAGGGGAGGAGGTAGAGATGTAACGTATCTTTTCAAGTGGGTAATCAAGGTAATCTTGAGATTTCTTCACTTCTGTTGGAAAGATCGAGATCTCGTGTATGATTGCTTGCGAGGGAACATCTCGAAGTGATAATCGCTAATTTTGATGACATTACGTCACATGTAGTAGTTTTTCAAAATATACTCGACGTGGATTTTTTTTATAGCGATAATTGTCTGTAGCGAGCAGATAAAATTCGTACTCAAAGTTAGACGTATGTTAAAGGTAAATTATTAGAGACAGAGGAATGGTATAAATTGACAAATTTTCTATTTTCCTTATATTTCTTTACGATTGCAAACTTTTGACCCTGAAAATCATAATATCAGAGGTAAATTATTAGAGACAGAGGAATTCCAAAAATTATCCATTTTTTTCCTTTCCAGGGTAAATTTCTCTAGATTCGAAAGAGTCTGTTCCATCGAAATTTCCTCATTTGCTCGACGATAACGCGAAATTATTCATATCCTACATGCACGCGCAAAATGTTTGCAACTACGTTGAATAAGGGTATTGCGATCGGTAGCAAGTGTGGCGAAGGGGGTGGAGAAAGAGGGATAGAATGACACAGGGGTTTCGAAGGGTGCGAAGAAAACGAGAGAAACGGTATAGAACAAATTTGGCGAATTTCCATATAAATTTGCTGGCACGAGCGACACACACACACACACACACACGTATACGCACAGTTCGCAGAAACAAGCGATATCACGAGGAACCTGTGCCACAGTTCCTGTCTTCCACCTAACGCTTTCAACGATGGCCAGCGTGTGGCCGCTGTAAATTCTCCAACTAAGTATGATCGTTTCAATATAGTATCGTCAAATCGACGATTCATTAACTGTGCTTATTAATTCAGATAGATTATTCGATTCACAGAGAAAGGGGAACACGAAGAGTATGGCGCATTTTAGAAATATTCTTTTTACAAATTTTCTACCATTTTATTCCACCTGTATAACATCCATTATTTAAAATACTATTTCAGATATTTTTTCTCCGAATTTTACCCAACTCTGGTTGTAATTCATAAGAGAAATTGTACTTTACTTTGTCAAATATTATGATTTCTTGCGTTACAGTACCATTTCGTTTCTCAACTTATTTTCACTCTGAAGAAATATTTCATTTTATCTTTCAAATAATATTCGCAATTCTGTTTAAACCAGGGTGCATAATTTATTCTAAATTTTGCACAGATCTGTTTCAAAGTGAATACGACATGAAATACAAATGAAACAAAACCATATTTCTGTTGTAATTTCAGCACTCTATGCTCTACTTTTTCCATCATTACGAGCTGCCAGTGATCCTACAGCAGGCACAACTGCAACACCTTCTCTTCCGCAATCCTCCGCAACCTGGAATGGCCGAACCTTCGCCCGAGCCTTCGCCTAATCTGAATAGGGCACTCACCAGCACCGAACCATCGTCCGAACCTTCGCCAGTTCAGGAACCAGCGGTTGTCAGAGCGCCAGAACAGACGGAAGGAACATCTTCACCGACCTCGCCGCAGGTTCAGCCGGATTCTGCCACTTCCGGTGTCCAGCCAGAGGGAAGCACCGAAACGTTAACAGAAACTTCTTCAAGTAGAGAAGAACAGAGTAACGGAGGTACGTGGAGTTAAATTGTGATTTTGATTCTTTGCCAGGGAAACGTGTGCTCTCTGTTTTCCCGCTTGCATTAACAATTTGCGTGAAAGTGTTCATTGTACGCGCTGCCTTTGAGTGTCGTGTGCTTACAGCTTTGGCCACAAGTGTTAGGCACTCTAATACGAATTATTTCTAATCTGGAATTTGCGGCTTTGATATTTTATGTAATATGAAAATCTTCTTTTTGTGATAAATTCGTTTTTTGGGCAAATTAATATTTCTTTCACTGTAAACTATAATTTTAAAAATACTTTTGTAACCATTTTCGTCGTCTGACAGATCACATTAGTTAAACAACCTAATCTAATTTAACCTCACACTTTATTCAATATACAAATTTGTTTCTGGTCTATTTTTACCGTTTAACGTTCGTACCTCTGGTTTAAGAATAAAAGTACACGGTTCGAATCGTTTTACCAATGTTCAACACGCACTTTGCAGATCTTGTATTACTAACACTCGTCACTCGACATCGCTTGCATTATTTGGCACGCGATACCTTACAATCGTGTTTCAATTTGCAGTGTTGCACTGGACCCAATTACTTTCCCCGCTTTTATTTTCATGCACCACAGTTATTCGATCGTCGCTTCGACGAGCGAAACCGATATGTCGAAATTTTGCACTTATGTATCAACTAAGAAATAATTAATCAACATAAAATTTCGTCCAACATCAAAATTCAGAGGAAGATATTAAATTGTCATCATCGTCACAAAGCTTGCAGTTTCATTCTCATTACAAAGGATCTACCGAAAATTATTCTCTCTATTGTTCACTCTTTTTTTGTTTTCATATTAACATTCATCGAGTTTTTTTTGTTCCTCCTTTTTTTGCAACTCGAAATCCCTTGTACACGATGTTTTAATTTCAATTTAACTTTGCATATTGAATTGCACGTGGAACTTGTCGACTTTTGCGTAACGTGTTTCCATTGTGGTGAGAAATAATGTCATCCGGTTGTAAATTTAATAAGTATTCAGCGAATTTCAGTGTTCGTTTCATGGGTCCATCGCGCAGTATTAATTTTCATAAAGGATACTTTGCAGTTACACGTTCGTTTTTTCTTCAGCTGTGATTTTTGTTGCGGCACTGTTGTCTCATACGCTTAACGAAAAACATACGAACATTTTTTCCATCCCTGTGTTACGCATTCACGCCAGTGTTTCCCTCAGCTTTGTTGTATTTTCGTTTCAAGCAGACGGAACGGTAACTAAATTAGTCAGCTCGATTAGGCAAAAATAGATATTTAACCCTTTCACTGCTCTGTTGGCTTTGAAAATTTTCTCGCGCCGTGTTATTGGCAATTTTTGCATACGTCTTTGCATATTTTCACTCTTCAATTTTTTAATTTCAATTTCAACATTTCTGAAAATTTGTAAACGCCAAAACGCAAGATTTTGCGGCTCAAGTATTGAAATCTATCGCAGCGAAAGGGTTAAAAAAATAGAGAATTCGTATTTATCCAATACTACCAAAAATAATCAAACTGATCAAATTACGATGATCTAAAAATATCACCGTGCATTTTGGTATTCAAATTAACCCTTTAACTGGGGACGACGACGAGTTAACTCGTGAGCACGAAATGCTTCTCCTTCGCCGTGGAACTTCGAAAATAACAGACGTAAATTTAAACTCGACGTTTTTCTAAGATATAAAAAAAAAACATAATTTATTCGATGCACAAAATGCGCTTCCACTGGTTAGCTCTCCAGTTAAAGGGTTAACATCGACATTTCGTTGCCTCCTGCATTCAATTACCATCGTCACCGTGTCTTTTCGTCCTCGTTTCCATCATCATTTCACTCGCTTCCGTTCCCCAATCGCTTCGAGCTTCTCCCAAACTCAACACACGACGAAGCTGAGAACGTTGCTTTGAAATCTTAGCGACAACAGAGAGCCCAACGACGTCCACGGCGTCTAGCACGAGCACAGAGACGACGAGCACGGAGGCGAAAACGGTGGTGGCGATATCCGGCATCGGAGCCGCCTCCTCGAAAGCGGGGGACAATGGATCATCCAGCGATATTTCTACGTCGGAGAGCTTCGAGGTGATCGAACCTACGGAGGCGACGCGGAAGGAAACGGCGTCTTGTCAGGACAAGTAGGAACGCTAAAATGCCTCGAGCCCATGCCAGTTGCATAGAGATCGACGTGTCCAGGGGAAAAGAAGGGAAGGTTGTCATTTCAACGCGGCTGCATCTTCGAAACCAGCAAGATCTTAAGGAGATCCCGCGCGGAGAGGAAATTTTCGGTCAGGCGTTAGCGTGTTTCGCAAAGAAAAAGGAAAAAGACCTGATCGCTATTTTCCGCCGGTGTAAAATGTTTATTTTATAACTGATCGATATGACCGAAGTGGTGGGGAATAACTCGCCCTTGGAAGCAGAGAAAGAGTAGCCTGCGGTGCCAGTGGGTGGATAGGTGTTAGGTTTAAACGAGTAACGAGTAAATTAGGGGGACTACAAATTAGTAGTGATGTGAAACGGGATAACTGGTTGCTGGATTTCATCGCGCATGAGATTTCCAGATCACACGGAGGATAGACTTCTCTGCTAGTTACAGGTGGACGTGTACGAAAAAGTTGAAATCTCGATGGAAATGCGAGAGGAACGGTCCCCGCGTGTCTGTGTATAGATTAGATGTAGGATTTTTACCGAGGACTTGAACAGTGATCGAGCTTACTACGCCTACTACTGTGCGGTCTTGACATCAGTTGTGTCAACTTTTAGAGTTTTCTAGAGCAGGTGAATTTTAAACACACACACAGAGTATGTCTATTCGTCGATCGTTTTCTCCAAGGTGCGATATCATTTCACCTTGCTCTCGAGTGTTTCTTAGGGGCGCAACAAGTTGGAGTGCCTTCGGTGAATATACCTTCTTTTCCGTTCTCTGTTTCATTTTTGATTTTTTTTTTTTTGTCGCGGACGAACACTGGCAATGCTGAAACAGTGGGCAGCTTGAACATACTACGTCAGGGGACGGGGGCATGTTCGAGTTCGTTGCATTTTTGGTATAACAAAGTGTGAGAGAGTTTCGTTTCGATGTATGTATCTATTTCTACTTTTAAGCTAAGCGGACGATTTTTAATTATTCGTTTACAACTGTCTGCAATCGCGTCCCGACTCCATCTGGGGATGGAAGTGACGTTTATTCGCGCGGCGAGAAGAATTTTCGCCAAGCGTCGTTACAGACGAATCGTTATACGGATCGAAACGCCGTTTGTACAGTATATAAAGCTAGAATTCTTAATGTCTCACGGGCAAATTCTCCAACGTTGTTTCTTATTAGACTTAACAGAGAAAAAAAAAAACACAAAAAAAAACAATACAGGTTAAGGGAATTGTAGTACGCTAGAGATGATGTGTCGGTGTCGTGCGAGATCTTCGAAAATTCTTGTAACATTTACACAGGCTTACGATTAAAAAAAGAGAAAAATAAAAGACGACGGCCGAACGAAGCGAAGAATATTGTATATTACTGTAAGTGTATATCGTTTTACCTGTTACGTGAAGGCTTCTCACGGTTGGTTATTGTAAAAAAACAAAAAAAAAAAAAAGAACAAAATAATCTTTACTGTATCATATGTCCGAGGTGAAGCATCGTTGCAGGGATCGTGCGTGCCTCTGTTAATTAATTACGTTTCCCTTTTACACTTCTTCGAGCGAGTTTACCGGCGAGTTTCTTTCTTTCTTTTTAACGTCCGAGGATCGAACGTCACGTTCAGTTTTTAATAAGTTATCGATCGTAGCGAGTAAGAATTAAATTGGTGACAGAAGTTGTAAAGAGCTACTTACCACACACACATATACACAAAACTATGAACGTTCTCCTATCGATGTGTATATGCAAATTTATTGTAAATCGACGATGATGATGTTCGTGTTTGAACGTCGGATTTTCAACGCTCGATCGCGGGCATCAGTGTGTACGTTTCCGTGTAAAGGTTGTAAAGTGGAGAAGAAACGATCGTTTTATTCCTTCTTTTTTTTTTTTTTTTTAAATTTCGATTCGTCTGTGTAAAATACTTTCCTAAACTATTTACGGCGTAAGTCTGTTTTCTGATTGTACATAATACCGCACCTACGATTCTTACTATTACAAATTGTACTACTGCTGCTCTTACTGATAGATTACAAATAAATGTAAAGGTGTTGCAATACAGCGTATTCACACAATTCGGGTGAGCTTCTTTTACTTCGCGTGTTCCCTTTCTAGTTTAGCAATGAAGGATTTTTGAATGCCTTCAATCTCGCTGTATTTCTTCCGTCGGCTATACCTCCTGTATTTCTTCCGTCGACTATACCTCCTGCAAGAAGTATCACACTGTTCACGCTTCCGATCTTAGCCTGAACGTTCCTTGCGCCTACGATCGCGAATTTTCTAGGTAGTTCCGGTGATAAATCTAGTAGAAGATGCAGAACAAAATTCGTCTCTTCCTTTCCGTCTATCTGTGCGGCTCGAACCGTTTTTCCGTTCCATAAGCAACCGTTGTACCGTTTTGTACGTCAAATTCCTCTGGTCGCGAATGATCCAGACAAGGGTCTCGGGTCGGAACACGGAAAATGCAAGGTTTAAAAGAGATTCCCGTGAAATTGGAATTGATTGTTCAAGCGGGACAGCGGGAAACAGCGGGGGAGAGAGAAGTCGGAGGTTGAATCCTGTCGAAGACGCGACTTTCAGATGGCGGTAGAGAAGAAGCGTAGAAACGCCGAAATAGACAAATAGATAGCGGTGTACCTTTGGAGAGGGAATCAAACAGGTGGAAGGTGAAGCAGACGACCAACGTTCCGCGTAGTGAAAAGAAGAAGAGAAAAGGGAATTCTTTTCTCGATGGAGGGAAAAAGAGAGGAGGAAAGGGTGTAGTGAAAGGGGAGAACGATCTTGCGAAAATGTCCAAAGATACACGACAGTCGTACAAATGTAACGATTTATTTTCATTACGACATAATTAGGAAGGAGATCCGTGATTCGATGTCGTGTCCCAGGTTCGTCGCCGTGTTTCTACACGCCCACTACAACCTTGCATACAGACACGCCTTGGTCAAGGGAGCTTTGCAAGTTTCAGACTCAAGAATCGATAGAACGCCCTTCTGTTCCGTTAGTCGCATAGGTTTCCGACGGAGAAGTGAACGGATGGAGCGAAAATAGATACACTTGTTGAGAGAGGCCGTTGATTATGGTAAGATTTGGTAAGAAGAGAAATGAAATGATTTTGTGAATCGTGATTTTTGCACTCGAGTGGCGACTGAGAAGGGAAATGATTAATCGAGGCTCTTTCAAAGCTGATATTTTACAGAACAACAGGTTTGTGGATCTCCCATAAATGTCTAAACAGTGATATAGTTTGAAAGAACCAAGTTCTAGTGAAATCTTACCAGACCTTGTATAATATAAAAAATATATATGAAATATTGAAATAGTTACATTTGTCGATATATGTATGATTTATTTTTATGTTAGTTTTAAAAAATTTCATCAATTTTCAAGGCAATAAATTTTAAGTTAGTTTCCCTATAACAAAAGGATCTTCGAGTGCAAAGGGTTAATGAGTCGAATATTAGCTAACTTTGAGAATTAGGGTAGACGTTAAAACTAAACATACTTTTGTTCCATTTCTTTCTTTCAATTATTTTCTAGGCGTCTAGAAATAAATTTCCCATGATTTATACTACTGTAACTTACTCTTATTTTTTGCCACAATAGAAAGAGCAACGCAATATGGAAAGTGAAAGAAAATAATTAAGGAAGAGTGTAACTCTGCACGTGTGAGTCACGTGCATGAACGTTAAAGGGTTAAATTAAATGTTTCGAAAATTTCTAATTATCGATACGGGTCCATAATCTAGCATTAATGCTCCTTAAAATTGTTCCTTATGGAAATTGTGCGTTCACGTGAGAGAAACAAGCGGAACAAAATGCATTTTCGTCGATCGAAATTGAAAAGGGCTGACGGTGAACAATATGTAAGAGAAATATACGGTGTCGTTGGCCACCTAGAGGATTTTCGTGTGTCCCGGAAACCCGTGTACAGATTCCGGCAGGGTTAGGGGTGAGAAACGAAAGAGGGGAAAACAGAAAGCTCACGGGGGCCGAATTTGCATCCGGCAAAGCAACCTCCGACTACTTTATTTGATTGGCTGCCCGCAGGGTTGCCTTCCACCTCTATAAGCCCACATAGAAGTACATTCTCGTATTTCTCTCTGCTCTTTTATTCAACTCTTCTTCTTATCGTTGTCTTCCCTCTTTCCTTCGCCCCTCTCGATTTTAGCCATTTTCTTCCTCCTTTTCTTCTTTTTCGTTGTTTTTCGCCTATTTTTGAATCCTTGCTTCGTCCCGCTCGATTTTAGCCATTTTCTTCCTCCTTTTCTTCTTTGTTTGACTGTTTTTGAATCTTTGCTTCGTCCCTCTCGATTTTAGCCATTTTCTTCCTTCTTTCTTCTTTTCCTTTTCGTTGTTCTTTCACAATTTTTGAATCTTTGAGAATTGTTACCAAAGTACTGCACATCCACCGTCGTACAGAAATTATCACACGATTTAAACTACATTTGAAGTCGACGTGGTAAAAAAGTGAAGATGAAGAGATAGATGGCAGTGGATCGTATTAAGTTTCATATGGTGGAAATTTTATAGCAAGCTTATGGTTGCTAAATGTTTCATATTTTCTTTATCGGCATTAACACACTTCTTCGATGTCTTCTCCTTTACTTCCTCAACTCGTGTCTTGATCTCCTCTCCTTTTCCCCCTTTTTTCGCCTAACTTTTCTTGCTTCTTTCCTTGACACAGTATCAGAAAAACGGTCCACGATTTACAGACCGCACTGGAACCTTTTAAGCCTTCTTAGGTCATTTCGTTCTGCATCTCGAATCGGATCTATACGGCGAAAGAGCAGGACAAGCTTCAATCCCTGTAATACTTCTTTAACTGGGAAGTATCGCTTGTCTGCTCAAACATCGACGAATATTTTCATTCTCTCTATTTTTTTTTTCTTTTACTCAATCGGTTAGTCGTTTTTCTCTTCTTCTCCTTTGTAAATACACTTTTCAGTCGTGTTTTTACAGAACCAGTTTTTTTCCCGAAGATCAGCATTATTATCAGCCAGAGGCCGAAAATCAACGAATTAATAATTTAAGTAATGTCTGCGCAAAGCGTTGCGATTACGTTTCACGGTATACAACTGGACGAATGAATAACCAGTTACAGGTACACGACATTTTTTATTTAACAGACACAAAGGACTCCACCGAGCGGGGATTTAGTTTGTATTAATGATTCACGTCTGCATTTCATCGGATTATCAGTGAAAAAGTCATTGCCACGCACATTCTTATGTGAACCTTCATTTTCCAAAATATCACTCCACTTTATTTCGTGTTTTGCGTATTATCGCGAATAACAGAAATATTTCAGGTGAACATCATTTTTGCTCCATTTTGTATTTTTGTGTAATTGAAAATTACGTATAATTGAGATGTTTCAAAATTCAAAATTCAGTATTAACTGATTCAGGGACGATTTTCTTCGATAGAAATTAAATCGATAGAAATTAAGCTACTTTCCTTGTTGGGAGATTACGTTATTCATATTTCCTCTGTCACAAATATCGGGATTTTCGGAAAAAACTGAACTGTCACGTATGCGTCAATATCTCTGAAGAAATTGACCGAAGTAAGTTAACTAAGTTTCAAAATTCAGTCTCATATTCGCTGAATTTTTTGAAAATTATTTTCCATTACACTCGTTTCACACCGGTGATATCCTTGGAATAACTGCGTTTCTTTTCACTGTTTCATCGTCAGCGTACGCTTTTCCTTCGATTCAAAGAAGACTCCAATCGTACGAATTACACGATAACAACTCACATAACCGTTGCCACTTAATATTCTTATTATTGGTCCTCCAGTTGTCCATTAGCCGTGTCGCGGGAAGGTCAGGATCGTTTAACGCAAGCGGAGGCGTTCAGCAGACATTGAAGATCGTTAAAAGCTGGACAACCTATGAAAGCAAAGGCACGTGACAAGGTAAGTTTTTGCCCGCTTTTAATGACTACGCCTGAAACATCGATCGACTTTTTCTTCCCGTCCATCGGCAAATGCTCCACGTCGGAATAATCATCCGGTTTAATAAAAACGGCTTATCCGCGAAACAATGGACTGTCGCTTGCAGTGCAAGCCCCAAACAGGCATCATAGAGTCCCACGGCTAAGTACCCGCTCTCATCTACTTTGCTTCACTCGATATTAAGAGATTTTCACTTTGCCCGGACAAAACGACGTGTACCTCCGACGTATATCTTTTAGAATTCTTCCTTGGAAGCGTCGCGAGTTCTAACATCACAGAGTTTCCAAGTGTAAGTCCTCGAGTTTTATGAAACTTGCGTGTAATGTATCATACTTTTCGGAAAAGTATTTCATACGTACTTTTTTTACACGATTATTCCAGTGTTAGGGGTTGAAAACAGCTCTCAAAGTTAGGGTTGGTTTTTTTTTTTCTTCAATATCTCTAAAAGTATTATGCTTTGAAAAATCATTTGAATACCCGAAATGCATATTTTCCAATAAGAGAATGTTCATTTTTTTGAATAATATATTTAAAATTAATATTCTTCGCGTAATCTTTTGATTGCGAAAAGTTAATCCATTCGCATGTGATTATGATCATAAAATAGAGTTCCAAAAATTCTTCTTAGTCCCGATAAAGTGTCCCAACACTTGCACCCACTTTAACCATGAAATCTTTCACCCTTAAAGTAAAGGGTTAAATCGTATAACAGTTTCTGCACGAACACAGCACGTGTCCCA